TGTCTTCCAGGCGGGTCAACGCTATGTTATCTATTTTCTGAACAATTCGGACGTGAATATGTTATGTACTATTTTGGGCAAAAGCTCACATATTTACAACAAAAGGTAGGTTTTTATCATCTATTGAATTGCCCATCGAGTCACTTTGACAATTCGTGTAAGAATTTCGAATATGCAGAATAAGATCTACTAAACAATTACAGTATTGAAGCTGAAAAGGTACTGCCCCCGCTAAAATGCTAAATTCAAATACACAACCATTTCTGCAATAGTGTAGTAGCTTAAACGCTAGATTAATTGTAGGCAATGGATAGTCTACCACTTACAGTATACTTGCCAAACCCTGCGAAAGGTTAATAACAGAAATAAGTGTCATATTCCGAATCAACGAAAAGACAACTTAGAGATTTAAGCAATTTTATAGCGTATTTAACTCCATAGTCCTACAAATGGTCGTTGTGAGAGATGAATATGCGTTCAGAATCGAGATTGATGCTTAATGCTGTGTAGTTATTTAGTAAGGTTCGACCCTGTGCGCACACACACGGTGGGACACACGGTCCCAGTTGGCAGTCTTTGTGTGTGCCATCACATGTTCACTCTGAATGTGTTAAATAAAGGACAGCCATGACTTATAGTGCACTCTCTCCTCTCTATAGGAGAATATTCAGCATCCTTAGAACTGTAGGAAAGACTTTAAAGGTTTACTTGCAGACAACTCACGCAAAGCAGGCATTAGTTTTGATACATGATTCTTCCAGTGAGCCAAAATTTTTGTTAAACTATGCAAATATATTCGAGTTTTAAATTATATATTTATGTTTTGCGCAACACCTCATGTAACAGATAGATTTCAAATCCATTTGCACAAATGCCTCTTCACTAAAGCAGATTTAACAACAATAGCTAACGGCGTAAAATAATACTAAGCGCGATAAGACTCTACACAAGAGTAACTGCGATACAAGTTGAGATATGGCTTAAAGTTATAATTAGATGTCTCTGTTGTCCAAGATGTGGCGGGTGAACAACAAATCTCTTCCGGTTTTTGGAAACCTCGAACAGATTCCTCGATCTATTACTGTCTTTTATTTACAGGTAGACGACAATTCAAATCGATTAATGCCATTTTTGTTATTTGCTCGGATATTTCCAATTTCACCGTCCTGGTTACTGAATATAGTCGCACCATTCCTCAACATACCATTGAGGATATTCGTCATATCAGCTTTCATAGGTAATTTTTTTTCAAATTTTCTTCTTTACCACTGGGA